CGTACTCCTTTTCTTTCAAACTTTGCCTGGTTTTTGTCCAATATCATAGAGGATCCCCTTAGTCATAATATGAAATACATATTTTATTGTTCTTTTACTCTACTAGTTAGGAACAAGTATAATACTGACTTTGCAATTATTAGCTTAAAGCAGGTCCATTAGCTAGCTGTAAGCAATAGCAAATCATTTCACTTAAATATCGCACACAGAAATCAGAAGGAGATGGCACCAACAGCAAGAATGTCTCCTATCAATTACCTGCACCTGCTGTATTCATAGATACACTCACTTATTTTCACATTCACATTTAATACCCACCAAAGTCTGTAGTTTTTTATTTACACCGACAGCCCTTCATTGCACGTAAATTATAATGGTGAGAATATTGTTGTTGCTATTGTTGTTATGCGACTGTTAATGATGTTGGCAATATTTGACAGCTAATTTAAGCTGCGCTTCTGTTGTTGTTGTGGTATTTATATGCCTTTAAATATCTGCTGGTAAGGGCGGTAAATGATTGCTGTGTTACCACATCGGCTGCTGCAAATAATTATGATGATTATTGCTGTCATGTTGATTTGCTGTCATACACACAAACATACACAAATACCTATTCAATCAAGCTTCGTTTCTGTTACATTGTTGGCTTTGCCTATTGTTTATTTATGACTTCATTTATTGTTTTACAAATTACGCTAATTTGTTGAAAATTCGTAGTACCTTTATATAACGGTAAAGTCATAAATATGCGTTATGATTTGTGGCAGACTTTTAGGAGTAGCGCATTCACAATAATTCACGCGTAAATATTGTTGGTAAATTAATGTGAATAAATGTATTTTATAAACATTTGCATTTTAATTATTTATACCTGTAACTATCAATATTCATACCTTCAAAGGAGTAAGAAGAGAATTGGCGAAATGCCATACGAGTTTTGACTTCTAATAAATTTAATAAGTAAAAAGTTAAAATTTTACAAACTGAAATAAAAGTAAAACTAAATAATTTAAATAAAGAAAAATAAAAATAATCTAAATAAAACTAAAACAAGATAAAATTATATAAATTAATATAAAGTAAAACAAATAAATTAAAATTACAAAATAAAATTTAAATATATTTTTTGTTATTTTTCGATATTGAGCAGACCAGGTCTCGAAGCCAAATGGCAGTACAGAATACTGCAGCTATCGCCAAATAAAACAAAAAGGAAATAAATATATAATTAAGTAAAAATACATAAAAAAAAATTAAATACAACATAGTATAAAAATAAGTTTTACTAAGTAAAATAATAGAAATAATAATAATACTATGTAAAAATAATAGGTAACAAAATTACATAAATAAAAAGTAAAAAACCAGAAGAAAAATAAAATAAATAAAATTAAATAAAAAACTGGTTTAAAAAAAAAAAAACTAAAAATACTAAATTAAATTAAAATAGAGATAATAAAATGGAACGAAATGAAAGTTAAGTAAGTAAGTTAATTGAAAATTTTTGAGATTTAAGGCGAACTAAATTTAACAAATTGTTTTGAAAAAAAATTTGCTGATATTTGTTGCATAATATATTCAAAGCATATTTGTACTCTGACATGAAAAAGCTTTATTGCGTTCCTTCAAACTAATGTATGTTCACTATATATATATATATATATGTACTCTTTAGCGAAATGCGTCATAATCCCGAACAATTCAACAGTTTCCACTTCAGCACAACACAATCAATCAATAGATATGCACAATAACCGTAACGAATAGGCGATTGAGAAGATAGAGGAAAACGGCAATTTATTCAATGGTTTACAATACAATAACAACAATGCGAGTAAAAATGGCAGCAAATGAGAGAAGCAAAATGCCATAAATTATGCAAAAGCAATAACAATAACATTAGGCTACAACAACAATCAGTAAATATTGAATCGACAAAAACACACGCAATCCAACATCAATATATGTACATGTTGACACATAAATATATGCTATAGCAGCAAATATATATATGCATGTGCATCTAAAAAATATACGCTCAAATGCTTTGTTTACTAAAAGCCAAAAAACGTTAGGCATACACGCCATACACATACCAGCAGGATTTTAGTTATTTGAGAATAAAAGAGGAAAATATTTATTTTCAATACCGAAGATATCCATTGTTTTTGTTTATTATTGTTATTATAGCTGCTGCTGTTATTGTTATTGCTCGGGCATCGCATTCAAAATTCAAAAATAATCTCTTTTGCATGGCGCTGAAAATACTGCGCACCAACACTCACAAAGTGTTTTATTGTTATGAATGTTACATACATACTTACATAACAATTTATTAAAGGAGAACTGGTATTCCAGTATTATTGCATGCCAAATATATTTTCGTTTGCTTGTTTAGCTTTGACCAGCAATCTTTCTACATAAATCATATTTGAAGCTTGTGTATGTAAGTATGTATGTCGTAAAGCTTTATCGTTAGCATTTTTACCGGCGAATTTATTATGGTTGGACAAAGAGCACGAAGGCTAATAATACAAAAGTATATATTTAGATTGCAATAGCTTTGAGTCTGCTTTGTGTAGAGAACGGTATGTATAACGAGAGCAGAAAGGGTCTCGAAGCTTGGCGGCACAAATTATTTTCTTAAAATTTTTTAGCATAACTTTGGTAGAAACAAGTAGTGCTCGTTTGCAGGATTTTAGAAAAGAATAAACTCCGCCAGATGTTTATTTTATATAAATATTATATATACCAGAAAAGAATATAGTAGATAAATTAAATAATTGAATCCGGAAAATTTACCTTTTTTTAATAATATCTTTTAATAAATATTTTATTAAAATATTTTAAAATGTAGTCATACCATGGTAAATCATAATAAATTGAATATTAATATATGTATGTATTATTCTCACTGGTCCCATAAGCAATGGAATGCATACGAGTACCCGGCGTATGAGTAACTTTTTTTTAAATCATTCCATGATATGCTGTGCATTAGCGAAGAGACCTCTATGTGATAATTAAATAATGTTATAAATTATGCTTAAAAATTAAATTATCTTCAAATATTATATAAAAGTAGAATTGAAATTAAAACAAAATCAAAATTACAAATTAAGAAAAAGAACTAAAAAATAACAAAACGCAAATATGTATTGTATTTAAAACATTAATAAAATAAAGAGCATTAGTAAAAAGAATAAAACAAAAGATCCAAACAAAGAAATCGAAACACAGAATATCAATAAGACTATCAGTATGTATACAAAAATAAAAGTATTCCAGAACTAAAAATAAGATACTTAAAATTTAAATGAATATAAAGAGAATAAATAAAAAATAATATCGACAAAAAATATAAAACAAAAAAGATCGAAAATAACCAAGAAATAAAATTATAAATTTAAGTAAAAAATGAAGTACAAATATCTGCAATATTTAATTTAAATAAAACCTCATAGCATTTATATTAACGAATTATAGCATAAAGCAAAATGAATTCATTCAAAGCAAAATTGGCATTCAAACTTTAAGCTTTCAAGTAAACAAATATCTCGTTAAATCTAAAACAAAAGGAAATCAATAGATTACTTATAGCTATCTTCTTGTTGTACTAACACAAAGCTCTACTTCATATTTTCTACGCTATAACATTTTTAATTTGTGTACAGAAGCACACACATTTATAAATACCCACACATTTGCATACATACATTCGCATACATATGTATATACATACATAGATTTTCCAAAAGTACTTCGCTAACATCAGCTATTAATCATCACACATGAGTGAATGAAATTGCTTTGCTGCTGATTCATATCCCATTAAAGAAGGTCTTTTGTGTAGTAATTTTTCTAACATACGCACACACATATGCACATAAATGCAGACGCAAAAATGTATCTTTAGAGCACTCTAAAACTCAGCGTGTAACTTACGCGCGCGTATGTTGCCAAGTAAGCAAAACTGTAGGTTTCAGGTATTGGAAGTTGAAGAAAATTAAAGAAAAGTCTTCATTAAATTTAGGAGAAAAAGGAGGGATTATTTCATATGCAAAGTGGTGGATATATTTTATTAGTAGTAAATAAAACAGTACTTATTGTAAATATACATCTTAGCCGGTTACATAAGAACTCCAAAACAAAAGCGAAAAATTAATTGTTTTGTATTAAATTCTGAAAAGAAAAAAAGGAAAACATTTATAAATAAAAAAAATTGAAATTATTTATTTAATAATTTTCGTTATTCCAAAGAACTTTATCAAACTACAGATGGGTTTGACCCTGTATTTATGTTTCTTAAATAAAGTTTCCCTTTACCACAATTTTCTACTAAAATTTTTAAACTCAATTTTGTATGTACGTCATTCCGTGGGAAAAACTTTGCACCGTTTCCATTAGAATAACGTTGATTTTTGCTGAAGTTTTCATAGACTTCAGCATGCAAGTAAACTTTCAATAAAATCACAAAGTAATATTCATACTTTTTATAGTTTATTGGGTAAATTCATTGTAGTTTACGTCTTTTTCAGTAATTCATATTATGGGTATACTCGTATATACGTGTACGTAAGCTTGGGAGAACCATATTTAACTAGATGAGTTGTAGTGCACTCATAAATTGCACAAAAGCGTTATTACGAAGTTATATATGTGGTCCACGTCGCATGCTCACGTATATCTGAAATAGTCACATAAATAGATGCCAAGTAAAAAATACTTCAAGCGTATCCAAATATAAGGACAATATGTAAGCACAATATTTCTTGAAAATAATGCAAGGAAATATCAATAAATTTTTAGTTTTTTTTTTAACTTTATTTAATTTAATCAGAAAACCGTATTTAAAGATTTTGTTTCATTAAAAATGTAAGTTATTATAGTAAAAGGCCTTTTAATTTTCTTCTAATTTTGATTCTTAACTTAATTATTAATTTCATTCGAAAAGCTAGTTCGATGGCCCGATCAAAAAGTTTGTGATCGGTTCTATAACTATGAACATCTATGCCAGCGCTCAGCAATTGCTTGATAGTTATTCATGCTTTACCGATGTAAGGATTCCGCAACCAAATGATGTCATCGCCGTTCAGTAATGGTATATTTATTTGATGTTTTAATCATTTTATATTACTGCCTGCTTGAAATGAAGCTACATCACAGCTTGACTATAGAAAGTTGAAAAGAAAGCTGTAGTTATGACTACAAATTAAAGCAAAAATTTCAGTACAAGATAAATTTCAAAAGCTTTATTTGAATTTCAGTATTATTAAATTTAATTTTTATTCTATTAAAATTTATAAACAGATGGCAACTTTCTTAAAATTAATTTCTAAAAGTTTGCGGAATTTTAATTGTAAACAGGTGGCAACACTCCGCTCTTCTCTGTTCCAAATATTTACACATCCTGTTTACTATTTTTGTATATTAAGCTTACAAACAAATCATAATTCAATCTCGTATGTATGTATCGTACTTTAAGAAAAAATTATTATTTCACAGCGCCATCTATTGGTAACTTTAAGTAAAAAATGTTCCCCGCTTTTTAGGGATAATATGAATTCTTCTTATGAACTTAAATTGAATTGCACCTCAAATATTTATTCTAACTTATTTAAATACGATTTATTTTTCCATACCTTAACTAAAACAAATTTTCTACCTCCATTCTTTCTTTCCCAGACTTGGTATGAATTGGAACGTTATCTGCGTGATGAACCCAAATTGCAATCATACAAGAAAATTCATTCCGAAATCGATACAGCATGGGATTTGCTGTCGGCGCCGGCACGCATTTTCGAAGAACTCAAAATCAAAGAACAAAATCTCGATTCAGTCTCCACAACGTCGTCAGTGTCCTCAACATGTTCGGGCATGTCTTGGGATAGCAGCGGCTCGCAAGCCCTTAGCTGTTCGGTTGTGGTCAAAAAGGAGCGCATCGACGAAGATGAAGATGAATTGCATTCGGATAGTTACGAGGAGAAGTTCACTGCCTCTGCGTTGGCCAGCTCGCTAGGTAATGCCGCCGCAACTTCGCTGGCGTACTCACCATGCGGCTCTGCCTCTAGCACACCCACACCAATCGTGGGCAGCATTAATGCCGCACAAATCGGTGCCACACTGTCGACGGTGTCGACCGAGAAGGGCATCAAACTGCGTGTGATCGCTACGAAGGCGCACCATAAAGGCGCTAGTAATCGTGCTAATAGCATTAATGTGAGCATCAGTAGTGGCCATAATAACAGCAATCAAAGTAGTAGTGGTAGCAGCAGCAGCAATGGCAGCAGTAGCAGTACAAGTCCGCATGATTATATATTGCCGACATTAACGCCGCCATCATCACCCGAATCGATACGCACCAGCAACACAAATAACGCCCAGCAGCAGCAGCAGCAGCAGCAACAGCAACATCAACAGCAACAACAACAACAGCAGCAAATTGATGCAAGCACTTTAAGTGCCACCGAGTTAGCTGCACTTATTCAGCAGCAGCAGCAACAACAACAACAGCAACAACAGCGTCTCAGCCAAACGCATTACTCCGCTGCAACGCCAACTTCTACCGCCATACTACGCTTCTCCAGCGCCGTTACGACTTTGGTCAACAGCGGCAAGAATCCTACACTCACGTCGACAACAGTTCCTCTGCTACAACAGCAACAACAGCAGCACCTGCAACAACAGCAACAACAAAAGTCACATATGAGTATACAAACTGCCAGCGCCGGTACAAACACAGACCCCCAACCGCCGCAACCAGCATTGTCACAGCCATCGGTATCGTCTTCATCCACATCCCCTTCAACGGTACATACAAACATTCCGCGCAGCACCATTGTTCGTCTCACATCGGCGAATGGCACCAAGAGTGGAGCCATCAGTTTGGCGCGTGTCATACAAATGCAGAACAGCGGCAGTGGGAGTGTGGCAGCGGCAATGTTGACGACGGCTACGTCTAAACAGCAACAACAACAAATTCAACAGCATGTGATGAATATGGCGGTTACAGCAGCGCAGATTGCCCAGCGCGGCACACAGTTGCAGAATCCGCAAGTAACTGCATGTGAGTAGAACCAAAATTACAAAAAAAAAATTAATGTAATGTGTAAAAGCTCATTTGCAAATAGAACTATAACGATTAAAAAAGCGTAGAGCTTTTTGCCTAAAAGCTTACTTCCCTTTGTGAAGTGAAGAAGTTATTGTGAACTGCTCTTCAGTTAGACGACCTTGGCGGAAAGCTTTCGAATAAGTCTTCTGAAAATGATATCATTTTGTTGTTTGCTATGAGAAATTTTAATTTTGTCTTCGAATTAATTCAATCGGAACTTGAAAATATGTTGAAAAGCATAAAAATCATATTTTTGACGCATTTAGATCCTTTGATATTGTAGTTCCAGAGTATTGAATAACTTTAAAAAGCTCTTCGAGCATTACGATATTTGTTCAATCTTTCAAAAATTGTTTAAGTTTGATTTTTAAACGGTTTCTGACTTAATCGTTTTTATTTTCAAAACTGCATAGATACAAATATATTTAAATGATCTTATTTGCGCTCAATGTAATTCAAATATAACTTTATAAGCAACGTACACATAATATGTTGTAAAATATTAACTAAATTTTCAAATAATTTATTTGGTATTTTACCATTTTAAGAGCTTTACTGCTAGCTAACTTTTTGATAATTAAATTGATTGTAGCAGCTTCATTCAGCATTCACAGTAAAATTGAAATAAACTCCAATTAAGAGCTTTTTCTAGCTTTTACAAAACTTTCTGGAAACTACATGCAGTTTGCAATATAATACTTACCTCTTTTTCAGTGACCACAAAGAACCACCAGCGACTACATGATCACAGCCCCGATGCTAAGCGTCGGATACACAAGTGCCAATTTTTGGGTTGTAAAAAAGTCTATACCAAAAGCTCACATCTGAAAGCGCATCAAAGAACGCATACTGGTAAGTGCAATGACATATCTAAATTTTGAAAAATAGTAGCAAAAATTGCAATATCCAGCTACAAAAATAATAAATTATAATATCAACCAAAATTCAGCATGTTTGGAAACATATACATGTTTGTGGAAGTACGTACATATGTAAGCAAACAGAAATATTTATGGGTGAACAAGCAAATCACAGGTCCTGTCAACCTGACAATCAAGCAAAATACATACAACTAAAATTCCATAGGATGCCCATAAATTACTTAGCCTAGTAATATTTCAAAAAATTCATATGTACATACATATATATATGTACATATTGTTAAAGCAATATAAATCAATAAAATGAACAATTTTCACTCCAATACCACGGTAGAATGGCACCTGCTGCACAATCATAGAAAAAGGATGCTGTTTGAAAAACGTGAAAATGAAAATTATTTCTACAACCATATGGACATGTAAAGGGTTGTTTTTTAAGAGCTGTCGGAAAGTTTTGCAGAAAACAAACACAAAAAATTCTGAAGACTGCATAAAGTCTTCATTTGAATCGATGGTACGGTCCATTTAATTTATCTCACGAACAAATGTTTCAATGTTGTCCTTCAATGGTTCCATTGAAGCGGGCTTGTCTGTATAGACATTAGATTTAACATAGCATAAAAAATATAGTCTAAAGGCGTTAAATCACACGATCTAGATGGCCAATTGACCGCGATCCCGAAGTGAATTAAAATGTTCACCGAACTCACTGCTCAATAAGTTCATTGTTACGTGGGCTGCGTGGCACGAGGTAGCATCTGGTTAAAACCACATGTCATGCAAGTCAAGCCCTTGCATTTCGGGAAAAAAATTGTTTGCTATCATCTCACGCTAGCGCTCACCATTCACAGTTACGTTACGATTCGCATCATCTTAGAAGAAGTAAGGTCCAATGATGCCGACAGCCCATAAACCGCACAAAACTGTTACTCTTTCTGGATGCATTGGTAAATCTTGCAATGCTTCTGGCTGATCTTTTCTCCAAAATCGACAATTCTGCTTATTTACGCATCCATTAAGTCAAAAATGTGCTTCGTCGCTGAACACAATTGAGTTTTTCTGAACTTTCTTTATAGAGGACGAATTTTGATAATAAACTTCAATAATATGCAAGCTTTGTTCGTTTTTAAGATGATTCATGCTTAAATTATAGACCAAACTGAAGTTGCTTGACAGTGATACAAAGTACGAAACGTGCGTCAGCTGCTTAAGCCTGTGCTGCCAAAAGAATAATAGCCAAAAGATAACCCTTTATATGTTTAACCATAAATATATGTATAAAATATGAGTCCTTTCAACGTGAATATCAGTGATTTCACCAAAAAATTTTTTTTTGAAAAATTGTAGAGCCACAACAATTGATGCGTCTGTGCCAACAACGACTAAATATGAAATATTTGATGCTTATATCTTTATGCCATCGTGTAGAAATTTGAAATTGTTTGCTGTCGAAAACAGTAACAATAAATTCCTCAGCAATTTTGGTTCATAATATTTGGCATCAAATGATTTTAGTAGCAGAAAAAATAGCTGTAGATATGTATAAGCGGCAGCAAATTTATATGAATATTCCACACAGTGCGAAAATGCATGTATGGTACATATGAATTTTAAAAAGTTTTTTTTATTTACGATTTACTCTATATTCGTCAGCAAAGTATAAATATTTTTTGATTCCGTAAACTCAGATTTATTTTTAAAATCACATAGAGTATTTTCAGTACTTGTAAATTAGCTCCTACCCCATTGACCTACAATCAATATATTTTTAATAAACTGTTGGAGTAGTTTTAAACGTTTTGCTAAACATATTTTTGTTTTCATATTCAGCTGTTCGCACCAATCAAGAAACCCAAACTAAACTTTATTTTGTTTACGATTTCCTTTTATTAGCATTTACTTCCTTCCCTTTGTTTGTTCAGCAAAACTTTTCAACTAATTTTCATTGCCCTTAACCATCAGCTCTATTATTGTGCTTCCCTTACCACACAAGGAAAGTTTTGCTTTGATTATATGATTTTTTTGTTAATATTTGGAATTAATACGTAAATACAATAATATTTTGGGAAAGTTTATATAAAATGGTCCATAAAAAATGCCATTAAAGTATACAGAAAAAATAAAAACAAGAAAGCAAGCTTTTGGTAAATAATAAACTAAAATAAAATTTTAATTATGAATTTCCTTTAATTTACTTATTTAATGAAAATAAAAATCTTGAAAACATAAAATACGGCACAGTTTTATTGTCTTCTAAATGAAATTCGAATAAATATTTAATGGATCTTTCTCCGTTAAATTTTACTTAATTTAATTTTTATTATATGACATAAGTTTATGATACTTACTTCATATTATTTTATTTTATTTCNTTAATTAATTTTGTTTTATTTTATTTTAATTTGTTTTATTTTTATTTATTTAATTTAATTTTATTTTATTTTATTTTATTTTATTTTATTAATTTTTTTATTTAATTTTTTTTTTTATTTTTTTTTTATTTCATTCGATATTATTTTATTATATTTAGTTTGTTGTATGTTATTTTATTTTATTTTAATTTATTTGAATTTATTTAAATTCTTTTCAATTCATTTCATTTTATTTTAGTTTAGTTTATTTTTTTTTTGTTATATTTTATTTTTTTCATTTCATTTTTTATTTATTTTTAATTATTTTATAAATTGTTTTCATTTAATTTTTTTTTTTAATTTGCTTTCGTTTTATTTCATTTTACATAATTTCCCAGGTTTCATAAGTGAAAAATTGCATAGAATTTAAGCAACACAAAAGTGCAATAAAACTTAATTTCGAGCGTTGAAAATCGTGTCACTTTCAGACAAGAACTTTGTATGGGGTTAACATTTACACACACTCTTAGCTGCACACATTTCTAAATGTATTTATGCACACTAATACTCAACACAACAAACGAGCGATTGCCGGTAATCCTTAGCAACTAACGAAATCACAAAATCCACTAAAAGCTGCCGTAAAAACCTCCGAACTGGGCGAATATGTTGCAAGAGTTTTCAACAACTTTGCACTTTTGCACTTTCGCATCTATACAAACATATGTATGCATTTATGTGTTTATGTGCTCGTGTTTAACTGCTAACTGGTGCAGCAATCAGCGTCACCAGCAGACAGACACCCAACCAACAAACAACAACCAAAAATGTAAGCTTCATTCCACATCTTATGGCACCTACGACGATACCTCTTGCTCCTTCTACTTCTTCTGCTGCTATTCACCTTCTACTTTTCCCCTTATTCTTCCTTTTGCCTACGTTGAGGATCTACAATGAACTCTCGCCTGCTGTTTGGTTGCCTGAATGAACAATCGTTAACTTATGTCCGCCGGCAGCTGTAACGAGCGGCGTTGTCTGTTACCAAGCTGATTGCACAACCGCATACGCTCACCCAAGGCAAACACGCATACATAAATATACAAACATACATACAAACGAGTATATAGCAATGTCGTTTGGAGGATTTTCAATCGCTCGGCAGCTTATTTTTGCTGTTACTGATTTCCGCTTGCATGTTGCTGTAATGTTTTTGCTATTAGGCACACTCTAAAAGGCAAAAGAAAAAAGGCAAAATTCAAAAAAGAAAAGCAAATACAATAATGTTATAGAAGTTGTTGGTATTGTTATTGGCAAAATTTCAAAAGTGCTTTTGCCATCAGCATCAATGGCAGAGCCATAAATAACGCATCGTGCAGTGCAGTGCAGTGCAAGCGGATAGCCGGAGCGCGCGCAACGAGCTGTAATAGGTGAGCAGGCCAAGTTGCCAATGGCTGTATTGAATTTGAAATGCGCATCGCCAAACAAGGATATCAGATAAAATGGCGCAGGACAAAAGATAAACGACATGAGGTTGAGCCAAAAGAGCATTTGGAAATCTATGGGAGGAGTAAAATTCAAAATATTGGCAAAAGAAAAGTAAATAAATTTATGAAAAGCAAATAAAAAATAAATGAAAGAAACATACAAAAAAACATTAAGGTACTCGGGAAGTAAAGTACTAAAAAAAATTTAATGATAATTTGGATATGAAAATCTAAGTGCTTAAAGGTCTGAGAATTTTAGTTATTAATTTGTTTTCGATGAAAATGTGATAAGATTACAAAATATTATATTATTTATGATTATATTTTAATTGTTATATAAATTATTATTTGAAAAAATTTTTTTTCTTTAATTTCTGAATATTCGAGAGATTGTATAAAGTTAAAAATCGAAATTGCGATTGTCTCTCGGCGGCGAATGTCAAGCCGTCCGAGTGTAATTCCGACATGCAATAAAAAGCTCCCCACTCGTTCGGAGCTGGCTTAAAATAAACTGTAGGTCCCTCCATCAGTTAGGGAAACATCAGGATGCATACCACAAATTGCAGAAGGAGCTCGGCCGAAAACCAAGTTTATGCAACTTCAACAAATACATATTGAATTTTTTATTCGCTTTAAAGCCGTTTTTTGATAGTATTTTTTGTTTAAAAAAAAACATTTTCATATACTTCTCTATGTAGAGAATTACCAGTGATACATATATACATACTAATGCTATGAAAAAGTTTCGAAAAAAATTCCGTGATACTAAATAATTTTTAAGAATTGAATGAGTACCCGCTAAGAAGCACTTTTATAAACGTATTTTCTTACCACAAAGCCTCCTGCATATCTAAAAAGCTTCAGAGAAATTCACAAAGTTTTTATCGAGCAATACATATGGGTATGTAGGTATGTGTAAAAATATATAGCAAATAGCCTCAGTCTATATGAACTATATTGGTATGTAACCAACCCAAAACAGAACAAACTGTATAAAAACGCCAATAGCACATTATATCGGCTACCGTAGTTGTTGTTGCTTCGGCGTGGGCTATGCAGAGTATTCAATATGCCGAAAGATAGGAAAAAATTATTTTTTTTTTCAACTATCGAACTTGATTCCAATGGATACGCAT